GACCTGTTTTTATACTCAAGGAAATGTGCTGGCCTTAGGAGTTAATGGTGCTAAATGTGTGAGGCTTCCTGCCTTTTCCCTAGAGGAGGCAACCAGGAGAGGGGGGACTATCTTCTCAATCTGTTTCTCTCTCAATCCAAATAACATAGTGCCCCCCTCCCCCAGCAACCCCTTTCCTTTCCCAATCCAGGATTCCAAGCTTCCTCCTGAACCCCTCAGGTCACCTTCCCAGACCCCAGAGCCCTTCTGGGGATCCCACCCCCAAGCCTAGAAGAGGCCTGGTAGTATGACCCTGGCTCCACCCTTGCTCACTCCCTGGGTTCACAAATGGCTCTCCCACGCCCACCCAAGTAGCACCAATTGTTGACTTAATGGCCAAATGGGCAGCCCATCCAGTCCTCTTCGTGGGAGCGACCTGTAGGGGCAGCTGGGGGACAGAGGGTGGGGGGCAGGGCGGGAAGGAAGAGCTGTCAGTCTAGTCGGAACTGACAGAGTGGACACCAGGGCGCCTGAGGTCTTGGGATTGTCTTGGAGGGATCTGAGAGCCGGTCAGAGGAAGATGCCGCTCTCGGGAGAAAAGCAGGAGGCCTGGGGAAGGACCGGGCCCAATGCAAGTGCTGCTGAGACCTTGTGCGTTGCTGTCCGGATCTCAGCAGTGGGGACAGCAGGCAGAAGTTCTGAATAGAAAGGCCCTCCCTCAGGACCACGCCAACGGAACTTCTTGTATAGCCCAAATGGGAGTTCTGTCTGCCCTTCTCCAGGACACACGGGGTCTGCAAGCAAGGGAATTCCAGATCCTACTGCATCTCCTATAATACGCTCAATATGCTGCAAATTTAAAATCAGCGAGGGGAAAAATCAAGTAAACAACAAAAAAAATAATATAAAACAGAGGGTTTCTTTGGAGCCAGACAGAGTAAGATGGGAAAGCCATACAACAAAGGTCCTAAGTCGAGCCGTATGCTCTCTGTGCCTTATTTGGGTTTCCAATAAGGCGGACATGGTACATTTTGCTCAATTTTCCACTCCTAATCACGTTGAGAACATTTGTGGAGAGAAGTGGCTTTCATTCTCCAGAATGAGTTTTAGAGCTGGAATTCACTTAATTAAGTCTTGCTCCTTTCTCAACTGGACTGTCTGACCTGAAACCTCCCCTGACCTGTGCAGGCCTTGTTACCCAAGTCTTGCTTGGCGGCCACCTGAGGCCTGAGGCTAGACCCATCTTGGAGAAATCAGGCTACATCTACCCAGTGAAAGGTGGGCATGTGAGCCATCTGGAATATCTAGCAAGCTGGGAGTGTGGACACCCAAGAGAAATCTGGAGACCCAAGGTCTTCAGCAGAGATATGGGAACAAGTGTGTGTGTGTGTGTGTGTGTGTGTGTGTGTGTGTGGTGGGGAGGGGGTGAAAGAGACAGGGAGACACAGGGTAATAAAGATACCTGGAGTATGTAATGAGATTACCTTGGATTCCCAGCGAAAAGGGGCGAGAGATAGAATAAAAGGGGCCACAAAAGCTCAAGCTCAAAACCCCCAATAACCAAAGAAGACTTTGCCTCACATAGATGTGACTGAAACTACCATTAACAAAAAAGCTCCTTGCTCAGAACTTCTTGGCCTAGTCATGCATCAAAACAGGAGACCTTTGAAAGTAGGGTTTCTGGACCTGCCGTTTAGGGTCCCATCTGTGGCAAATCAAGAGTGATTTCTTTGACTTTCGATGTTCCCACCGGCTCAACCACTTGATGTGAGCTCAGGCTCTCTGAGCTTCAGTCTCCTTGTCCTGCTCAGTGGGGTGAGGCCTCCTACATCCTCTGAGACCCCTTTTCCTGCCCCAATCTCCTGCTAGGCTGAAGAATGACAGCATGGAATAGCATTCTGTTCTGATTGCAGGGCTTTATTTCGTGGGCACTATTAATCTTTCCCCTAACTGGACAGTTGTTTATGAATGGATGGGAAGGGCTTATGGCTTCATGAACCCACCCAAAGTGAGTTGGGAGAAGGACACAGGGTTTAGCACACCAAGCTGAATCCAGCAGTGTCCTGCACTGTAGCCCCCCTGTCCCCCTCCCCCAGAGCCTAGAATTGTTGATTCAAGTTGAGGGGTTTTGGAGCCTGTGCCTGGTGCCTGGGTCCTTCCCAAGTGGGGATGAGGATTCTTTTCACTTCAACAGTTTTGCTTCTGGTTCCAGGAACACCCTGGAGTGCTGTAGGGTGGTTACGGAAGCCCAATTGCTTCAGTCCCTGGCTTCTCCTTAGCAGGCTCTCTGGGCTCTTGTGCCATTAAAACAAAAGTAATGACCCTGAACCTTAAAAAATACCCCCTACCCAAAGGAACACAACACGCAAATAGTTCCAGGCCTACGCCCCTTACTCACCTATCAAAGTTATGGGAGCCAACTGAGCTACAGCACATTCTTGCTTGCTGACCCCACAGGAAACAGCCAAGAGCTTACAGGTCACCAGCACAATTGAGCTTTATTCCTCAGCGAACCTCGATTATTAATGACACACGCTGCGTGGAAGAATGAAATGTAAAATGCATGCCTGTTTGCATGTAGCCCGGTAAAAAGGGTCTACTAACTGCTTCACTTTGGAGAAGAACACGTGTTCCTACCACATGTGCGATATGCCAAATGCAAGTTCTTATATGACATGTCACATTTTGGACTTTCCTGGCTCACAGTAAAAAAATGCTAAGGAAAAAATGCAGCCGTTGTTACATAAAGGACAAAATACTTATTATCCTAAAGCTTTCCACTGAAGCTAATTGCAAAACATACTGCTGGTTAATTAAACTAACAGGGAGTTTTTCAGACCATAGTATTCTTCGCACATATGACCCCAATTTACAGGAGCGGGGGTGGGGAGGGATCCTTCTTGCGGAAAAAGTGCAGATCAAGCCCGCAAACCCATAAGGAATAAGCAGATTCTCACAGGCTAAAGAAGGTTGGCAGGAACTGGTTTTTCTTAAGTGGGATCTAAGAATCCAAAAGCAAACGCTCCTATTGCTAAAAGAAAAGGTTACATACACTACTTTAAAACATCGGAATAATGCGCAGAACTCTGACCTTCCATTCAAACACTGTTTCTGAACTTTATGTAAGCGGCTCCTGTGGGAGTAACTGCAGTCTCTCTATCTGCAGGATACAAACACCTTTCGCAGCCAATATCCCAACATTCTAAGAGGGCCAACGAGTTTCGGACAAACCGCGCTCCCATTGTGACTCCACACTGCCAGGGGCAGCAGCAAGGTCAGGGTGGCGGGAGGTGGTCTTCTCCAGCTTCAGAGATTCCGGGCCCAGAAAGGAATGACTTCGGACCCACATAACTCATCCCCAAAGCCTGGGCTCTGAAAGGGTCCTCGATGGGGAACCGAACCAGGGAGAGCCTCTCGCCAAGTTCACCCAGCACTGAGTCCCTGTACCCTCTTTGGCAAGCGGGGACAGGAGCTGTTCACCCTCTCAGACTGCTGGCCCCGCCGCCCACCCAGTCCCGAACTCTGGCACTGAGAACAGCCTCTCCAGGCCCGGTGCTAGCTGGGGCCGCGCTGTCCCCAGATCTGCCAAGCCCAGGGCCAGGGGACACTGAAGGTTACAGACACGTGTCTTCGGAACACACCGACCTTCGCCCGCCGAACAAGGCTCGCTCATCTCCATTAGGGCCAATGACTGACTCCCCCTCGCCGGCCATCCAAAGTGATTTGTGGCCTCTGTAAACTGACCTGGAAAACTAAGCAAGGACGCAGCTACTGCTGGGAAAGCAGCGGGATCCCAGCCGGACTGTCCCTGCGCGGCGGGGAACGTGGAGGGGATGCGGGGCGCGGGGGTGGGGGGGGCAGATTCTGCCAGAGCGCGGCACCCAGGAGGCTGCTGGCGCAGCGAGAGCGCCTGGGCGCGCTGTCACTCCAGAGCAAGGCAGGGTTTCTGACCTTCCCACCCTGGGCTGGGTTCCTAAACACACGTGAGTCTTCCAAACAAAGGCGGCTAACGATGAGTAAATAGTTAATAATCACAGGCCCCGCGAGGAGCGAGTGCGGGGATGAGGAGGGCAAGAGGCGCAGGCAGCCATCGAGGCTGGAGGCGGGGAGGGCCGCGCTCTCGGCCTAGTGGGGCCTAGTGGCCAGACCACCGCAGGGACCCTTGTCCCCTCTACACAGCCTTGTGGTCCCTACCCTGCCCCGCCGCGCGCGCTACCCGGCCTCCACGGCCCAGCCTGTGATTAAACCACCAAACCTCACAGAGGTCTCGGACGCTATTTAATTTTCTACCCAAACAACTTATTTCGGGAGCCAGTCGGAGACAACAGCGGGGCTCGAGGGAGGGAGACGCTGGGGGCGGGAGGCGTGGGGCTCGGGAGGAAGGAGGGAGCAAACACAAACAGAAGCCGGGCACCGCGGCCGCGGCGGGTAATTAAAGCTAATTAACTGAAAAGCGTTACCTTCCGAGCGCCGCGTCCCAGGCTGCGTCAGGGGCCCGGCGCTGGGGCCCCCGTAGCCACCAGAGGAAGCCCCCCCTCCCAAACAAGAAGTGGCCCGAGCTTCTACTCCATGCCCGTTGAGCCCCAGAAATCCAGCGCCTCGGGTCTCTGGCTGCCTAACATGACTAAGTCTGGGGACGGTCACTGCGTCCCAGAGGACAAAGGTGTTTTTCACCTGCCGTCGCTCCGGGTTCAGGCCTAAAACCGGCCCAGCTCCGGCAACCGGATGGCGCAACCCTTGGGGGTCTCTACGCTTAGCTCCCCACAGTGGACAAGGCACACCGTCCCAGAGTGGGGCCTGTGGCCTCTGTTCCCATCACCCCCCAAGGAGGCAGCGCCCGCAGCGCGAGGTGCTGGGGCCGCCGCCGGCCGAGCCCAAGGCGGGAACGTTGCGGGGGGGCCCCAGCCGGCTGTGGGACCCCGCACCGCGCACCCTGCGCCTCACCCTGCGAGCTTCCCCCTCTATTAGGTTCCAGCTCTAGGCGAGAAGACGGAGCGAATCAGAAGCCACGTAGTTTTTGACTGAAATTAGAGTGTATTTATTTGCAGCAATCCTTTAACAATGATCAAATTTTGACAACAAGCAACAGCAATTACTGCTAAGTGTTGCCTCTAGATAGGAGCGGCAGATAGCAGGAAACTGTATTATCTCAAAAACAAACTGAAAGGCCCTGAACGCCTGTAATCAAATCGCCATCTCCCCAAAGTCTGATTGACAGGGCAGATTACCCCCAAGATAATGAATTTATTACATTTCCTGGGTTATTTACAAAGGGGGAGGGCCAATCCGGATTGCCCCCTAGGTTTAACTGTAAATTACCAAGAAAAAAAATTGATTCGAAAAGAAACCACCTAGGCGAAAACATTCTTTCTGCTCTCTTCGCCTTCTTTTTGGTTATTGCTTTAAGCCTTTTCAAGAACGACTCTGCTACAAACATGTCTTCTAAATAGTTTCCCAAAGATTAAATATCCCTTTCTAACCCACAGTATATTTAAAAAGCAAAACAAAACAAAACACCCCAACCCTTGAATGTAATACATGAAGGATTGTCAATGCGGATGACTTATTTACATGCATTTAAAAACTGGTTTATTTTTCCTCTTAGAAATGATTGCAATAGGAAACATTCCATCTGCATTTGGCTCACAGGAATGGATGTATAATAGACATTGTAATTTTATATGTGACACAAGCCAAATCTTCACCTGAGTCTGTCTGTCTCATCTCTGTGTACATAGGTATCACTGGTAAGATTACAGCCAGTCCATGGATTTAAGGTTTCCAAATCATGTTCTATCATTATTGAGAAAAGTACTTGTGTATATATGCCAACTCAGACCTATTTAGGAAAACATCTTTTTTTTTTTTACTAACCTCAAAGCAAGCTGGTTATGTAGTACATGTGGCAGAAGATGCTGCAGAGGGGGGAAAAAAAACTAAGCAAAAAACCAGAGACAATTAAGTGAAACCTGACAGAGGTCTTCTCCAGAATCTAAAGATTCGGTGGAGGATAGACTCTTTAGTAGCGTTTTATCTCTGAAATCCTTTTTATCCCTTTCAATAATTAAGGCTGTATTAAAGTATCCAGACATATAAGTCTCATTCAAAATGAATGGTAATTTATTAGTAAACAAACAATGAATATGTTCAACAAAAAGAAAGGATGATAGAATAAGAGTAATACAGTTTCCCTTTGATAATTAAAAAAAGGCACAATTTAAAAGGTTCAGGCAATTTAACGTCAGGTTTTGGAAACACTTTCTGGCGTTTGGTCCACGACATCCAACTACAAATTAAAAATAAATTACTATGTTGCAATTTACATTTTAAAACAAGTCCATGAATAAAAAGAAAGCGGTTTTCATATATGGGGCTTTCCCCCTCCTTTAAACATAGGATAAAACAATATCTTACAGATGCGAGGCCACGGAAGATGGACAGGAGATGGGAGAGGGCAGAGGAGGAAAGCGGGATCTCCGAAAAGCGAGAAGGAACTTACGTGTTATCTGGAGTAACACTGTCCTTTAACAGACCATGCTTTTGTGGTCTCTGTACACAATAGTTTACGATTTTGTTTATTTAGATAAGGCACAGTGGAGGTGGCTCTGGATTAATCTTTTAAGAAAATAGAGTTTTCTTTGTGCTGGTGCGCTGAATTTTTGGAGGGATTCCGCTGGCTGGTGTAGAGACTTTTTTAATTAGATGTTTTTGGTTTCGATTTTGCATCCACGGGTCCTTTGGGCTGCTCCCGTTTGGGGGTTCAATTCAGTTCGGTCAGGAGGGTCCTGGGGCGTGTCAAAACTTGCTGCAGTCGTAGACGAAAGCCCCGGACGTGCGGTACAGAGACTGGCTGGAAGGGAAGGCCATCTGACAGCTGCTGTTACCGTTCACCGGGGAGTTGTTCAAGCCAATCCTCTGCGATTCGAACATCTCCCGCACCGAGTGGAAGTTCTGCTGCTGCGCGGGATAGCCCGCCGCCGCCGCCGCCGCCGCCGCGCTCGCCAAATGGCCCAGGTCTCCTGCCGCTTGGTTCAGGTACCACGAAGCCAGGCGGCCTTGGTGGGCCGTGGGGTGGTGGCCAGCCTCCTGGCCTCCGCCACCCGCCCCGCCGTGACTCAGGGACGAGGAGCTGCTGCTGGTGACCGGGGGCAGCGAGTAGTCAGGCAGGGAGTCGTCCACGGCCGCAGCGCCCGCGCCCCCGGGCGCACCCTGCAGGTGGCCGCCGCGCTCGCCGGCCGCGTACAGGCTCATGGCCTGCATGTTGCAGTGGTAGGTCCCGGAGCCCCCCGCGCCCCCCGTGCCGCCGCCGCCGCCGCCAGAGCTGCCCGCGCTGGAGCTCTGGCTGCAGGGAGAGCTGTAGAGGGAGCTCGGGCCCGGAGAGTAGGCGTTGAGCGCGAGCGGGGGCGCCAGGCCGGGCCGGGAGGACGCGGCGGCTGCCGCCGAGGCCAAGAGGCCGGAGCTGAGCTCGGTGGCTGCGCCCTGCGGCGACCCTCGCAGCGACGTCATGATGTTGTCC